CATATTTCTCCCATTGGAGTGGCTGGTGAGTTTGAACCAGCAACCTTTCAGTTAGCAGTCCAGTGCTTAATGCACAGCACCAACAGGGCTCTATGACAACAGGGCTCTATGGCCAGTAGCTCTGAATAAATAAAATTATTAAACAACACTAGTCCCTGAGAATAGATGCTGACCACAGCATCATCTAATGCTTATACAGAGCCTCATGGATTTAGAGCATTTTTCATGTTTTCCTGATAAGCTGTTATAAACCTGTCTTCTAGAAGTAGGTTAGATATTTGGAGAATTAAAAACACTTGTTGAACTTCATCTAGCTTGTAAGTAGTAAAACTAAGACTAAATCTATCTCATAAGTCTTGGTCCAGCTATACTTCTCTGTTGGATGGCTATGGCCATTCAACTTTGAAATGGTTTAATTTCATGGACTTTATTTATGGAATACGTATTCAGTAAGTGGATAACTCAGTATGGTTCACCAATATGTAAATACCAAGATAAAAACTACCATTTTGAAGTAAAAACATGCATGAATGTTTAAATCAAAATAAGGAAAAATATAGCAGCTGTGTACAGTCAAATATTTGTATATGTATTATAATAATAGTGGGAGTCCTGGTGAGGGACTGTAGGATAAGCACTAGACTGTAAAATAGTTTTGAGGTTGTAAAATATTTATTCAGAAATATTTAGTACTTTATACAGTAAATCTAAATTTCTTTCTCTTAAGACTATTTTGGCACACAAAATCTATTTTTGAAGTCTTCTTTCAGATTGCAGATGTACTTTTTTGAGAGGGGGATTTTTAATAGATTGATTAAATGAAGTCAACATGAAAGGGATTCTGCATTTTGGTTTGAATTCTTAACCCAATTACTTACTAGATGTGTAACCCTGGGTCAGTTATTTAATATTTCTCTGGTTACTTTTCTTATCTGTAAAATGAGAACAATAATAATTTCTACTTGGTAAGTTTATTATGAATATTAAGTGAGATCCAGTATGAAAAGAGCTTATCACCATATCTAGAATATAATAACCAATGAATTAATATACTCTTAACTCTTACCTTACATATCTCCAAACGTCTGGTTTGTTTGATTTTTGTAAATGTTTGTGCCAATACCACTTAATAATGACCAGTGTTAACGCTGTAGGATCAGCACTGGACTGTGAACCACAAGGTCAGCAGTTCAAATCTACCAGATGATTCTCAGAAACCCTATACAGGGTTGCTATAAGTTGGAACCGATTCAAGGGCACTTAACAAAAACAATTGTGTAATTAGCAACCGCCTCAGAAATTTTGTCTCTTTAACCCAATCACAAATTTAATATTTCCAGATTTTCTTGGGCCCAGTGCTTTCCCACATAAACAATATAAAGAAAAGAGTCTGATGATTTCCATTCTCTGTTACTTTTACGCTTTCTCCTTTCGTCTTCTCTAACATGATAAATATTGTATCTGGTGTGGCATTGCGGGATAATGCACTGGACTGCAATATGGGTTTGAACCTCAAGGTCAGCATTTCAAACTTACGGGCCGCCCTTGGAAACCTTATACATAGTCTCTATGAGTTGGAACCGACTTAACAGCACTTAATAACAATCACCACCTAGATTAAGGCTTTTTCACTTAGAATGTAAACTCTACAAGGGAAAGAATTTTTGATGGTACCCAGGACTTAGTAAATGCTCAATAAATTCTTGTTGGATGTATGAATGAAATATTTCCTCATCAAACTTTGTAATGGCTTCTTGGTTATTATGATGCCTTATTCCATCTTTGTCATTTCTCTCGCAACAGTCACATGGGAGGACCTGCTCCACCAGATCCGAGTTGGAGGGGAAGTCTTAATGTGAATTACAATATTGGGCCTGGCTTTACAGGGAGTGATTCTTTCAGGTAATTTTTCATTACTTTAAAAACCTATAAAAATTCCCATTTTTAATGGAAAAATATCAAGATAACTGTTCTACCAGAAATACTTTGCTTATTTCTTTTTTACTTTTTGCTAGTGGACAATTGATCATTTATATTAAGAAACGCTTACAGAATAATGTATTCTATTCCAATAATATTATCACACTAAGATTGTTTCATAATGTCTCACAAATAACTACATTTGAGTTATATTTTTAAACATTTCATGAATTGGTTTTTTTTTTTTTTAGCCTCCCCTTCCATCTAAAGTTTTAAAAGCAGGTTTCAGATCTCTTGAAAAATATTACACACATAAAACATAGGGTAAAGGTAAGGAATAGAGGAAAAAAGAATAGAATAAAACGAGTAACATCACTTACTATGTGGTTTCAGTGAATTAATGGGTGAAGCACGTAACTACTATAAGGCTCAATAGGCTTAATTATAATAATTATTGTTATCATACATTATGTATTGTATTAAGGGAGAGACTGATGACTGACTAGATAGCCATTGAGGTTAGGATTAGAAAAAAATATTTTTTATTAAAGAAAAATTATTAAATCAGTCCTGTTTGGTAACTTAATTAGGTGAATTTGTATTCTGAGAATTAGTTTGTTTAAGACTACTTTTTTTGTTTCAGTACAATTGAAGTTTAGAGGTTCACAGTATAAGAATTTTATATTATAGGAATTTCAGAAATATTTGATTGATACATGCATCAACTACTAATGCCAAAGATGAAGAAATTGAAGAATTTTGCCAACTTCTGCAATATGAAATTGATT